ATGATCACACTATCACATCATCATACTCCCTCACCACTCAGAAGACGCTTACAGTTAATGGATGAAATTATTGAGCTTGGTGAGATGCGTTTAGAGCTGTTTCGTCTCATTAACAACATCCAAGAAGCCATCGATGCGGAAAGAAAAAGGAAAATCGCAATCTTGATGTCATTTAGATAGTAACCAACAAATTATTATTCCTTTCAATTGATTATGCGTTTGTGTAATCTTTATCATCAGTTAGGTATGTTCTTTTATTTCCCATTATTATTTTGAATCTATGCTTCTATCATGATGAGTAGGATCAAACTCTATTTTCAGGTAATTAAAGGTAATGATGTATTTGTGTTTTCTTTTTTTTATTTGGTTCTTAAAATATGCGAGGTGCTTTGATGCATAAAAGGAAAACCTAAATCTCAAATTCTAGGAAGTTTGATTTGCTTCTCTTGATGCCAGGGGCTTTCATTTGGGACAGATTAAGTATCTCTTATGTTCTTCCATTAAATTGCAGTTTAGGTTCATATAAATACAATGCATTCGTAGAAAGTAATTCAATGTAACTAGATGGCAATTTCCAAAAGTAACTAGAACAAAATGACATTTAGTATGTGTGGTTGAGTATGACTTCCTTCCTAACTCTATGCCGTTCTTTAATGGAAGAACATAAGAGATACTTAATCTGTCCCAAATGAAAGATCAGTATCAGTCTTTTTATGCTTATTACATCATGTCTTGCTAATTCCATCTTTTGTTTATTCTAAAATGTTACTCTTTTCATTTCCCAAAATTATTTTGAAGTGATAACTTACTTGTTTGGCAGAGTCTTTGCAGGCAGGTACCACAACCTTGCTATGCTCATGTCATGAATAGATCAAAATCAGTCTTTAGGTCATTACAGGTAATGTTCATGTGTTGCCTCTCTATTTAGTTTTTACAATATATGTGAGGTGATTGTTTTGTTATAAATACTAACTACTGCATAAATATTGTGGCAGAATGCTACTTTCCAAATACAGTGAGTGATTGAGTTCTGCAGTTTATTTTGAGCTGTTCCTAGCACTTACTTTTTTTTATACTGGTGTGGGTGGTATTGTGTTTTGATTTTGAACTGTAATTCTGGAGTCCTAGCACCAAACCATATTAGGTTTTTCTTGAGGAGTTTGTCTAGTCCTACAAGAAGCTTTGATAATTTGCTCACTATACTGTGACACCGTACCACTATACTAAGATGCTTTGGGGATAAAGGTGCTTGACCAAATGCACATTAACTCATTGGTATCTCTATCTGTTATAGATTGATGAACTATTGTGGTTTTTAATTTATTTCCCTGTAGATTGATTGCTGTTAAAAATATGCTCTTGGGTGGTTCTAGCTTAAGGTTATCCTTTTCAATCGTCTTGCATGTACTACTAATAGATAGCTGATTGATCATGTTCTGTCATGTGTCGAATTTGCATACTGTATTTTCTGTCTAATTTTATGAAAATTTCTTAGACTATTTATCTCTCGTTCAACACCTGGTTTAGTTTATACCGATACTAGTTTTGTTTATATAACAAAAAGGCTGATTTTGCCCTCCAGGCCAAATGTCCTGTCATGCTTACTTCATCACTTGTGACCATCAGACTTGTTTCACATAATTTAATTAATTCTCTGTATCTACTCCAATGTTCTATTATTCTCATATCCAACATTATTTTCTGGAAACCTCAATTTTTATAAGACCAATTTCATTTTATGTTTGCTTAACATAAAGTTTACTGGTAGATTTTGATATCATTATAGCATGTCATGTCATGTAACACTTGACTTGTTTTTGTATGAGCTTGCATATTAGTATTAAGAAGAATCTTGAGTGATCATGACATGATTGACTTGTTTTTTGTTTCACTGTTTCTTTTGGTCATATTAGATAGGGACAGCCAGCAGTTGAGGTTACAAATGAAGGCGTTGACGCTGCAGGGCTTGCCATTGGTACATCTTCGGAGGCTGTGTTCAAACTTAAGAAGGTTCTCAACCCCAAGCAAGTTCAGCTCAACTGAACGCTAAGAGATAAGTCGTCGTGCTGACAAGAGAATGAGTATCTCCTTACATGCACTAGTAGTAGTACTAGTTTATCAGATAATTCATTTTTTTCTAATTGATCTTTCATCATGTGTATTTATATACATGATTGAATTAATATACCCTGTAACAGTTATATTTTATGGTTAATCTTTCTCAGTTATTGTCATTTGATCGTGCATTGTTGGTTTTTTTTTCAATTTCCCAACATTATTTTGAATCCATAACTAACTTGATCAATGGAAACTTTGTAGGTACCACACCCTTGCTATGATCTTGTCATGAATAGATCAAAATCAGTCTTGAGGTCATTTAGAGATAGTGTTTTTCTGCTTGCCTCCTTTGATTTGGTTTGATTTGCTTGAGCCAACATATTATTCAAGTTCAATAGTTGATTTCATTTTTCTAATTGATGTGTACAATTTTTATAAAATGTGGGCCTTTTCTTGATTTGAGCACTTTTTCACTTGTCTTAGGGACTTTTTGTTGGTCTTCTTGTAGTGAGCTAATTTACTTATCATTGCTTACACTCTTAATGTTAGGTAGAATTTGTAGGAGGATAACTTGAAAGAGGTCGTTGAATATTAAAATAATAGTTAATTTCTATTATGTTGTTGCATTTACTGTGATATGACGGTTAAATTGTTTGTCCCTCACATATCTTTCACATGGTTATCAATCATGTTTCTGTTTAGGTCCTATAGAATGCATATATGTTAATGTTGATGTTATGGTATTGTTTCTATTTCAATTTGTTTCCTTGATGAATGATCGTTTGATTTTGTTTGAGCTTGGCTTTAGATTATTTCTTCCATTGTTTGATTTGAATACGGTTTGTATTTTAGTAGTTGGAAACTGTCGTATTAATTAATGAATGATGTGAATCTAAATTCTAATGTAACAATCTGATTTAGTTCAATCTCTTAAGCTCTGTTTTTTATTCTGGTTTTGATTCTGTTCTGGACTGGGCCCAGGTTGGCCCAAGAGCTTGATAGGCCCAATCCAAACGGTTCTACAGGGGGCGCGTCGACCAGGAGCTACGACCGTGCCCGCCACTGCCCATGGACACAATGTCTTCGACCAGATACCATCCAGCTCGAGTTCAGCTCGAGCACCCTCCTCGTAGGGCATATTGTAACTGTTACACCCTCACCTGAACTCCGAAAAGACCGCGTCCTCGTCCGTCCGTACTTCTCGCAGAGCACCCAGGGAGGAGACCACGTGTGGGTCCCCACTACACACGTAGAACCTGACAGTTCCTTTATTGGGCCGACCAGGATTGGCCCAATGAAGAGACCTTGGCCCAGCGCTGGGGGCTATAAATACCCTCTATTTCAAGAGGGTCAGGTATTCATTCTCTTACCATTCACACACTATTTTGCCTGCTCGTACTGCCACTTACTTTAGCATCGGAGTGCCTTGCAGGTATCCCCCCATCTCGTTCAACTTCAGTTCGGAGCCAGTCGTGACGGTCCAAGTCTGATCAGGTAAGATCAGTGGCGCCGTCTGTGGGAAACTAACTTCCCCGTCTTGCAAAAATTCAAAGACCAAAGCTCAACTCAAACCATCACCATCATGGCTGACCAAGCTCGTGATGAACAGAACGTCTGCGTCGTCAACACCAACAACGGCCTCGCGGATAAAAATGGACACCTTGATAACGCCGGTAACCCCGGTCATAACACCATCCCTGTGTCAACTGCCCCGGGCCCTTAATCCACCGCGACGGAGTTACCGCTTCATCCTCCTCGGTCCCTCCGCCACTCGAAGAAGACGATGCACCTCTCACGAACTATCAAGCTGCTCAGTTTCAGGAAGTCCCTGTCCCCGCCGGGGCGGATGCCACAACCCGAGCGCTGTTCGCAGCGATCAATCAGACGAATTACCTCATCTTCGCCCAAGGGGAAAGATTGAGGGCACTTAAAGACGATCGAAGACCTCCGAGGAGGCATCGGAGGCCCCAGACTCCACCTCCTCGGGTAACTGAGGTCCATTTCCCGTCTCCCCCGCGGAGACACTACGAAGATACCTCTCGAAGCCCGCCACCCCGACCATCGGGGAAACGACCCCCTTTGGAGAGGCAACTCATCATCGAAGCCGGGGGACGCGGCCGCGCCCCCGCAAGGCAAGAAAGAAGACACTCCGGATACGGACACGGAAGAATCAACCAACGGGAACCGCGCTCGAGAGATGTCCAGCACGACCAGGACCGTCGTGCCCGACATTATTACAGATCCCCATCCCTGTCCCCGGAAAGAAGCGACGAAGACGACCCCCGCGGTCCCCTGTCGCAGGCCATCATGGAGGCGCCCATTCCCCCGGGCATGGAGAAGCCTCCGCATCTGAAGGAATACGACGGAGTCGCGGACCCGGTCGATCACATAGACGGGTTCGAGGCTATGCTGCACTATCACAACGTCGGGGGACCCATCAAATGCCGGCTGTTCCCCACGACCCTCAGAAAGGCAGCAATGGACTGGTATAAAGGCCTCGCCCCGGGATCAATCACCTCGTGGCGAAACCTGAAGAACCAATTCATCAGTTCGTTCACAGCGTCTCGTCGACACCCAAAGACCGAGGCGACTCTCGAAGTAATCGTCCAAAGACAGGATGAAACCTTAAGAGAGTTTATCAATCGCTTCAACCGTGAAGCTATACAGGTCCCCTGTGCGGACCACATGAAAAGATATCTGCTGGAGAGGGGGCTCCTCCCCGACACGGAATTCAGAAAGGCCGTAGGCATCGAGCCACCTAAAACATTCGATGCTCTCCTCGAGAAGGCCCGGGCGTACATGGATTACGAGGAAAGAGAGGCGGCTAACAGAGCCCGAGACCCTAGGACTCGCGGGTCCAGCAGCAACCCGCGCCAGGAAACTGCTCCTCCTCGACGAACCGGGGAGAAAAGAAAAGAAGACAGATCCCGGGAAGTCCGAGAACAAAGGGGACCCTCGGAGCGTTTTACCGAGTACACTCCGCTCACAGCTTCCCGCGAGCGCATTTTGGCAGTGTGCCAGCACGGACTTCAAGGACGGCGGCGTCAAACGTCCCCGACCTGCTCCCGCCAAGCCCGGAGCAGACAAGAACAAGTATTGTCAGTACCATAGGAGCCATGGCCATCTGACTGAAGATTGCGTCCATCTCAAGGACGCCATCGAAACTCTCATCAAGGGAGGAAGGCTCGCACAATACCGGCGAAACGACGCTCCTCGTCGTGACGCCCGGGAAACAAGGGAGCCAGAGGAAGACGCCCGACCATCTGACGAGTCGGTCCCCGTCCAGACCGCCTTCTCCGTGACCAGACCCGAGGACTTCGACGTCCCCGAACATCTGCAGGAGCCGCTCACAACACACAGCAGGTGGGAATATTTCCCCTCCGCCATGGTCATCAACGGCGGAGGATTCAACGACTTGACCATTAATTCGGCTAAGAGGAAGTTGGATGAGCTGGTCGACGCGACACCCCCGCAAACAGTGACATTTGAAAGGGTGAAGGGCAGGTCAGAGCCCATCACCTTCTACCTGGAAGAGCTCCCCGGGGGAGCCCCCAACGCGGTCATCCCCTTGCTGATAAGGGCAAGAATGGCCAACTTCGATGTGCATCGCATCCTCGTCGACGAAGGAAGTTCCGTCGACGTAATGTACAACCAGTTGTTTCGAACTCTGTAGCTGGACGACTCACATCTCTCGCCATATGTAGGGTCGGACTTACAAGGCTTCAACGGCTCGACCTCCAAACCTTGGGGATATGTCGAGCTCATGGTTACCTTCGGCGAAGGCACAACGACGAGGCAGGTTAAAATACGCTTCCTCGTCATCGACTGCCCGTCTCTCTACAACTGCATTCTGGGGAGACCAACACTGGCAGAACTAATAGCGGTGCCCTCCACCGTCCACCTGAAGATGAAATTCTACACCAAAAAGGCACGGGTAGCTACCATCCAGGGAGACCTAGCCGCTGCTCGGAGGTGTTTCAACGCTGCATCTAAAGGGCGCGACACTGTCAACGTCGGGACAAGGCCCGCCAAAAGACCAGCGACGACACGACATGAGCCTGACAAGCCAGAGTCCGCCAAGGAAGAAGTCCAGAAACCTCCACCAAAAGTCGACTCTATAACCCTGGATGCTCGTTTCGATCAGGACGAACCTCCCAATGGCGAGCAAGTTCCACTCCGACCAATACCGGATGGGGATTTTGAGCTCGTCCCCCTCGGCACAGACCCGAGCAAAGGAGTAAAGATTGGCAAGGACCTCCCCGACCTAGCAAGGAAGCAAATCAAATCCTGCTTGCGCGAGAATGCCGAGCTGTTCGCCTGGAGCGCCTCGAAGATGCCCGGACTTGACCCTGAGGTCGCCTGTCACCACCTCGCCATAGATCATGCCGCTAAGGCCGTAGTACAACGTAGGCGTAGGCAGTCTCCAGAGAAAACGGAGGCTACTGAAAAAGCTGTAAAAGACCTCCTAGAATTTTATTTCGGAAGCCCGGTATTCAACCTGGCTGTCAAACGTTGTACTTGTTAAAAAGAATAATGGAAAAAGGAGGATGTGTGTTGACTATACCGATCTCAACCGGGCTTGCCCGAAAGATGCTTTCCCTTTATCGAACATAGACATGCTGGTCGACAACTCGACCGTCTACAAGACGTTGTCCTTCATGGATGCTTACTCGGGCTATAATCAAATCCCGATGGCTGTGGGCGACAAACACTGCACGACTTTCATGACCAGCTCGGGCAATTATTACTATAACGTAATGCCCTTTGGACTAAAAAACATCGGGGCAACTTACCAACGTATGATGAACAGGGTTTTCCACAAGCAGATTGGGGACATGCTCGAGGTATACATGGACGACATGATCGTCAAATCCCGAGCAGACACTGACCATGCAGCGCACCTCAAAGCAGTCTTCGCCCAAGCAAGACGATAATGAGATTCAACCCCGAAAAATGCACGTTCGGGGTCAAGGCAGGGAAATTCC